CAACAACGAGTACATACTAGTTGCAGTCGACTACGTCTCCAAGTGGGTAGAAGCCATAGCTAGTCCAACTAATGACGCAAATGTGGTGATCAAGATGTTCAAATCCATTATCTTTCCCAGATTTGACGTACCCCGTGTCGTCATAAGTGATGGAGGAAGCCACTTCATCAATAAGATCTTTGCTTCTCTCTTAAAGAAGAATGGAGTCCAACACAAGGTTGCCACACCATATCATCCTCAGACCAGTGGCCAGGTGGAAGTGTCGAACAGGCAGATTAAGAGCATTTTGCAGAAAACAGTCAACACAAATCGTAAGGATTGGTCGCTCAAGCTGGACGACGCTCTCTGGGCATACAGAACAACTTATAAGACACCGATAGGGACCACTCCTTACAATTTGGTGTACGGTAAAGCGTGCCATCTTCCAGTCGAGTTGGAGTACAAAGCTGCATGGGCTGTGAAACTGCTCAACTTCGACATTAAACCAGCAGCAGAACGGCGATCCATGCAAATCCATGTGTTGGAAGAACTGAGACATCATGCCTATGAGAGTTCGAAAATCTATAAGGAGCGTACAAAGGCCTATCATGATAAGCGGATCATCAGAAGGGACTTTCAACCAAAGGATCAGGTGCTCCTTTTCAATTCCCGATTGAAACTGTTCCCTGGTAAGCTACGATCAAGATGGTCCGGTCCATTCACCATCAAGGAGGTTCGCCCTTATGGAGCTATTGTGCTATTGGACACAAAAGGCGACGAATTTGTTGTCAATGGTCAACGTCTCAAACCTTATCTTGCTAAGACAACCATCGCAGAGGGTGAAGAAATTCCTCTTGGCGATCCTTCTCTAGCCTAACAAGCTAACCAAGTCAAGCTAACGACTTAAACCAAGCGCTTGGTGGGAGACAACCCACTGGTAAGTGTACATATTTTCTTCTCTTTCATTCAGTTTTTGGCTTTCTTTCAAGTTTTTGCAGAATAAAATCAGAAAAGCCCGAGTTTCTTCCAGACGCACTGTTGTTCCATTTGCGGAGCAGCTGTTTAGCTCACGTAAGTCTCGCGGGATACAAAAAAAAAAAAAAAAAAGGTGATGGAGGAGTGGGGGCGAAAGCCCTAAATTTTAGGGAGTGGCCCACGATGTCGGTTCTATTTAAGAACTACACTCCCCTCTCCTCTTTCACTTTCATTTCCGCCTCCTACAACCAAGAACCCTAGAAATTTCCCCTTTCTCAATTTCCAATTCTTGTTAAGATTTCCGGATTCTTGCTTGTGGGATTACCTTTCTCTTGAAGTTTTTGCAGGTTTCTCTCCCTACTTGAAAGGTAAAAAGGCGAAATCACTTTGTGATTCTCGGCCCCAATCAACTCTCATCTTCTTCCTTACTTTGATAGATCGATTTTTCGGATGTTCATCTTGAACAAAATCGACCATTCCTCTTGCTGTAGGATTGTTTAGAATTATGAGTACTGATTGGATGCAACCGTTTGGAACTATCGGATAGTTAGGTTTTGGGGAACAACCGATTGAATTTTTGCTTACGATTTCATCATCTCGGTTATTTCCTCTGTTTTGTATCTTGTGGGATACTAGGAGAAGTTCAGTAGAGGAACACACTGCAAAAAAATTCCGACTTCCTCCTATTTATCCCATTCGGATTGTGCTAATATTTTTTCGCTCAACTGTTCTCGCAGATGCCTCCACGAAGAGCCAAGGCAAGTGCAAGGCCACCGCCTCGGACACTCCGTGACGACCCGGCTGATGACATGATTCCCCCCACCTACCCGTGGCCACGCATTGAGAATACCGAGATATCTCTCTCTGATCCTCATATTTCAGATTCTTCTGAAGAACGGTGGCATATCGGCGCTTCTCGCCGGTATAACGACCTTCTCCGCATCCCCATTCTTCCAACGCGTTTCGTCAACGCCATGGATTTGCAAGTGCTTAATCTCCAAGAAGATTTGCATGCGGCCTTACATGCCTTAGGAATAGCCGATCTCTGCTATATCTCTCACCACCTCTACCCTGATCTGGTGCGACAAGTGCTCGCCACCGCAACGCTTACTTTCTCTAGGCCTGACTATCCCTGTTTCAGAGAAGCCTACTTCACTTTCTTCGTTGAAGGCGTTAAGCGGTCAGTCTCTTTGGCCACAATTGGAGAGATTTTTGACATGTCCGAGGAGTACACGGGCATTTCTTTTCCCAAGAAGTTCGCACCAGAGCAGGCGTTTTGGAAGTTCATTGCGCTTGGGGAATTCAAGTCGCGAACAACTAGTCAGTCCCACATCCGTAATCTTGTCTTGCGCATCACTGCCAAAGTCCTGAGCAACTTGCTTTTCACTAAAGACCAGACTTCTAAGGTGCACCGAGGGGAACTCCAGATGCTGTTTGCCGGTGTTGCTGATGAGCTTCGCGATGCTAACGTGGGTATTCCGACTGCCACAATGACGACCAGCCCGAGTTACTTGCTTGTTCAGATGTTTGAGGACAAGAAGGCAAGGGTGCAAAAGAGGACCCTTAAGAAGGATCGTTCCGGTAGTTTGCTCACTCCGATTTTTCACCACCTGGGGATTGATCTTACCAAGTACACATGCAATGAGACTCCAGCCTTCATCGACACCTCCTACTTAGTCAACTGCCAGATCATGCGTGATGAGACCACCTATAGCTTCTTGGGTAGAAACGGGAGCATCCTCTACTGCAAGCTCCCTAATCAGGACATCACTTCACTCAGCGATGTCCAGAACATTTGTTTCGACCCTGATCCCCACCACTTGTGCCCTGACCCGAGATCGCCTATTCCGCAGACGCCTAAGGAGGACGTGGAGTTCGCCGGCTCAACTGGAGACGGTGCCACCTCTGATGACCTGGGTTCACTCGCAGATGACGCAGATGATGCTGCTTACCGCAGGTGGATGGTTAACTCACAGCGCAAGAACAACAGCCTCCTGAAGCGTGTTCTGAAACTACTGACCGGCGGTTGTATGGGAGCACCTACAACATCTGTGCCTCAGCACGGAGCAACTGCAGCAGCCACCCATCGCCCCGAAAAGGAACCCGCAGGAACAACGGTTGGAGGGGACGAGACCCCATTTGCTACACCTCGTCATCGGAACAGGCGCTACCCCGGCCAATCCGACAGCGATGAAACTGACTAGGCAGTCTCCTAGCTCTATCACCATTGTCTTATCCATCTAGACTCTTTTTATTTTTATTTTTATTTTGGCCTTTCTTCGATTTATTTTCTCCCCAGGGATGGTGAGAAGTAAGTCTGGGGGAGGCAAGTATCTGCTACTAATCGTTTGCTTTGTTTCTTATTTTGCTTTGAGTCATTTTTGATGTTTTAATCGAGTCAGTCCAAACTTTGTGGGAATCAGGACCTTGTTTTATGATGTTTTATTAACCACCCTCGTGCTTTAATTCATCTTATTCAACCTTAGCAGAAGGCAACAGACACACATGCATATCCAGAACACCCTGACTTTACATCAACCTGTTCTCCAGAAGCTTTCAGCTTGTCGAGGTTACTCTGAAAGGACTTAACTCCATCTAACTTGAACTTAATCTTGACTATAATTCTTCTTGTTGTGGGCATTAGATTAGGGTTTAACGTGATTAACACTCAGGATTTCTTATTCTTTATATCCATCTTGCTGATCCTGAGTGGCTAGCTCATCTTTAGCTAGTACCCACCTTGAAACCTTTAAGCCTTTATTTCACCCTCATGCATTTGATTTTCAGTATCTTATGTGCAGATATGTGCAAAAGGGCCGGAGAGGAAAGGATCGACACAGTCTCTTACTCGTAATGCTACAGAGTATTCTGCGAGAGAACAGGCGGAATCAGGGAGCAACTGCTCCGCCGTGATTGATCTACCATAAGAGAAGAAATCATATAAAAAATGTATTAGTTTAATTAATGAAATCATATAAAAAATGCATGTGGGTTTTATAACTGAAAAAATAAAAAAAAAACTAAAAAAAACATTGTTATTAGAAATTTTTCATAATGTAATTTCAACTTCTGTTTTTAATGATTCAACATTACAAAAAAATGTTTTTAAGAGTTATATCACTTTAAAAAATAATTTCTTTACTATATATATATACATATATACAAATATAGATATATATATATATACATATATATATATATATATTCATACTCTTTTCTAATATTAAATCAACCTATATTTAAGAGTGTGCATCACTTTATCATATTTTTATTTATTTAATATTTAATAATTTAAAACTACTTTGAAAATGTATTTTCATTTTAACTATATTGATTATAGAAATATCTTTAAATTTTAAGTTTTATATATTTTTTATATATATTATTGTTAATATATATTTCTCTGCAACTTTGGATGTTAACCATTACAATTATTGGCTAACCATTGTAATGATTGATTATCAAACATTTTAACCTTTTTTCAAAGATATTTGAAGAAACACACACACATATATATATATATATATATATATATTTGAAACTCTTTTTTATTCTTGTATCTTAGCTTAATTTAGAAAATTTTGATTGAGAAACCGATAAGTTTAAACTATTTATATATCAGTACTATCTGATGTTTCAAAAAAAAAAGTGTTAGTGATTTCAAAAAATTAAATCCATAATTTATCATTTTAGTTGATTTTATTTTATAATTGTGTTAGTTTAATATAATAAGTATTGGTATTTTATAAGAATTCTCCCATAAATTCAGGATGATATTATAAAGACAAAATAACTCAAATGACACTAAAACAAGTTTTTCTTCCCAAACTAGCACTCAAAACCAAGTTTTTCTTCCCAAACTAGCACAAGTCTCCTTCTCTAATTATATTTTTTTTCTTCTGAAAATTGAGATCAATCAAAAGAAAATTGAGATCATGAAAACGACGCCGGCGTGAATTATCTCTGCCATCGATCATCTCGTCCATCATCGTCTCTGGTCGCTCTTCTCCAGCGTCCATCCAAGCACAAAAGTTGCTTTCAGTCTGATGAACTTTGGCGGTGGGGATGGTGTCACCGTCAACACGGAGGCGTTCGAGAGAGCTGTCTACGCAATCTCGAAGATTTCTAAGAATAGAGGTGGGCATCTTATTGTGCCTCCTGGTAGGCGTTTTATTGCTCCGTTTAATCTCACTAGCTACATGACGCTGTTCCTGGCTTAAAACACTGAGATCATTGTCGTACAGGTTTGTTGATTCAAATCTTAAAGTTCTTATCTTTTATAAGTTGATGTTGAAATTTGGTTATATAGATTTAGAATCAAAGATGTATACTTTGAGGTGGCTTCTGTTTTCTATATACTTGTTTGTGTTAGATCCTGAAAGTTTTTTGTTTTTGTTAATTGATGTTGAATTGGTCTTTATAGAGTTAGATGTAAAGTATCATACTTTGAGGTGGCTTATGTCTTCTATTTACTTGCGTTTCACCAACTTTTTTGTGTTTTTTATGTTAATGTTCCTAGGATGAGAAGTTAAAGGCCTCTGCTTCCTCCTCTACCTTCATACGGCTATGGAAAAGAGCTTTATGGACCTCGTTATGGTAGTTTCATTCATGGGCAGAATCTCAAAGATGTCGTTGTCACAGGTCAGTCTCTTAGGTGTTTTCTCTTGCTAAGGCAGCAACTGAATTTCTTAGGCAGCAACTGAATTTCTTAGGTGTTTTCTCTTGCTAAGGTGATTAGAAGTAAAACCACAGCTCTACTGTTTAAGCTCAACCTTATCGTTTGGTGTTTGTTGAATATTAACTTATGAACCTCAATACTACTTTTATGCTCTAGTTTGATCGAATTACTGTTCATCATCTTCTTCCCATTACATCTCAGAGATTTTCACCAGTGGTGCAAAAGAAGGACGAAACTTTTGGAAGTCGTTGCGGATCGTTGGAGAAGATGGGAGTCGTCGCATCCCCATAAACCATGGCGGAAAGGCAAGCTGTGAAGTGTGTAGATTCAGATGGAGTTTCGCAGTTACAGTCTCTTCCCGGTGGAGATATTAAGCTCTTGTGTGATACTGTTGTGGAGAGTGAGAGACTTGACTGGATACGACCGTGTGATGGTGTACAAGTTTCACGAAGACAAGCATGGAGAAGTTGTTGCGGGGAGTAGAGGAGAGGATTTAGAGCCTTACATTGCATTATCCAGCGACTGATATACCTCAAGCGTCAAGGTTCTTGTTTAAGCAGAACCGTGTGCGTATGATCGTAGATTGGCACGCGACGCCGGTTCTCGTGGTGCAACACGATAGGCTGACTCAGTCTATGTGCTTGGTTGGCTCTACCCTGAGGGCTCCTCACGGTTGTCACTCTCAGTATATGGCTAATATGGGATCTATTGCGTCTTTGGCGATGGCTAATATGTTGACACCGACAAAGTAACACCATAAAATATAAGTCTTTACATGGAGACTTGTCTCAGCAATAAAAGTTTTGAATGATTTTTAAATGCAAAGCTAGTAGTTGGGTTAATAGTAGCAATTTTACAAGTCTTGTATCCTTTATGACCTCAGAGACGGAACAAAATGGCTTAGTGATCAAGAAGGGCTTTCAAATCAAATGTACATAGGAAGAGGAAAAAGCAGGGCAGAGAAACGAGTGTGTTACTACTATGGACGAGCAGGGCAGAGAAACGAGTGTGTCATGAAACAAAGACACAGACTTTTTATACCGAGACTTCTGGGAGTGATGGAAGCAAGTTGAAGAGATACTGAAAGTAAAGAGCTGAGACCCGGGACAAGGCAACTGAGTGTGGTGGGTGCAGTTAGAGTTGTGGTCAGAAGCTCTTTCATGGTAACTTGCTGATAATACTATATGAAGTGAAATCAAATGTTTTAAATCATTGTACATGAGCATAAGGTCTTTTGTTGAGCTGATTATTGAACTTGGTATGTGGGATGTAGATACAACTTGAGTTTAAACCTTGCTTGATAGTAATACACTCTTATATATTATTTCTGGAAGTCAATTCAAAAATTACCAAATGTTTTCCAACGTCTATAGTATTTTTTATATATTTTGGTTTTGTAAAGTCATCCAGAATATGTATAATGCTTTTTTGTTACATTTAGAAATTTGAAAATTTTCAATAATCAACATAAATCTTTGACTGTTTTGCCTTGGCTCTAAACAATCTTATACTTCAGCTCAGGTACTGTTAGTCTGAGAGGTCATAGAACTCCTATCGTGTGACTATTCTGAGTAACCAAGTAATAAAAACTTCAAAATTTGTTAATACCAAACTTCTAGAAAGCTTTTGTGAAACTATACATATCCTTTCTGAAAAAAAAAAATCACATAATTTTACAGGCACAAGCAATTGTCTAGAAATTTCATAAGCAAATTCAACAGGCTACCAAAGATATCAACAGGCGTAGTCCAAACAAGAAGACACAAAGCAAATAAAAATTTCAAATTTGTTATCATCGAATATTTGTAAAATTTTCGTGAAACTACACAAATCCTTCCTGAAATTTTGAAAATACTACATAGTTTCACAAGCACAAGTACAAGCACAAGCAAGAAAATAACAATTTCATAAGAAAATTCACGAGCCTACCAAAGATATAACATGCCTAAGCCAAACAAGAAGACACTTGACATCACTCAAATATTTAACCCTAAGGAGTGAATTACTCTCTCAAATAAGAGGTTCAGTTGTAGTACTTAGGGATCGAATCCATAGGGAACTGAGGAACACAAAAGATATATTCCTAACTGATTATGCTAGGTTGATTTAGTTGAAAATAGTAAATTGCAGTTGTGAGCAATGATAAGTTGCTCAAGAGAATAGGTTTTGGTTTAAAACAATAAAGAAAGTAGTTAGATTCAAGGTTGCTATTCAGATAATCAGGATTATAATGCTACAGATGTTTTAGTAAGTTGCTTGCAAGATATATAAGAACTTCGATTCTTAGACAGATCTAATAGAAGTCGCTATATAGACTCATCCATTGATCTTACTGCCGGCAATATCGACCGATGTTTTGACAGCGATATCAGACGATATGGGTTGCCATCGATCGATAACTCTATAGAAGTATCGATCAATATAGTATAAGATCGAATCGAAACTGTGTTCACCAAGATCATAGACCGGCTCTCGCACATCCCTAGAGGATCTAAGCTTATGCCAAATGATTTCAGGATGATGATTAACAAGTTAAATCATTCGATGATCATACTCTAGTTAGCTACTCTAGAGTAAGCATTAGGGTTCATCTGGATAATGAATATCACCACTCAACATTCCATAGTTGGGGCTAATCCCTCATAACTATTTGAACCCTAAATCTAACAAAGGAATCTACTCAGACATGGCTAAGTGATTCATAGCAACAAGGTAATAATAGGAATTCATAAGATTAGAAGATTGAACTCTTGGTTCTTTGGAACAACAAATCTCTTTGTGTGTTTCTTCTAAATCTAGAATTCTATAACCTTTAAGAATTAAGATGAAAAGAATACTTTATTGCTAAGTATAAAATAGTATCAAAAGCAAAGAAAAACACTCAAAAACATAAAAGCGCATATAGCCAAAACACATAGGCAAAATTATAAATATGAGTTCTATTAGGTTAAAAACTCGTCAGGGGCAATTTTGTAATATTGAGAAAACTTGGGCTTCAAGTCGGCCAAGTTAGACTTGTTCTTCACGCTTCATATCGATCGATGGTACATGGCGTACATCGATCGATGGAGTATCTCGACTTCATCTTCTATGGAAGCGTCATAGATCGATTACACAGGATGTGTATCGATCGATATGTATCTCTGGATATCGACCTTATTGTTTGATCTTCATAGTCATCTCGGAAAACTCTCCTTTAAAATCTATAAGGGCACCTAAATCATCACTTTACTCCAAAATGCTTCTGAACCTGAAAACATACAGACTCCAAAACATATATATAACTTATAAAAACATATCAATGCCATGGCTAAAAGTGGGTCAAAATCATGGTATATCAACTCCCCCAGACTTAACCTTTTGCTTGTCCTCAAGCAAACCATCAGTTAGTCTTTTGGAAGAAGTTTAAAAAACAGTAGGGACTCAACAAAATCTTAACTTTAAAATCATCACCTTTACTTTGTTGCAAACCACTTCTCATATTACTAACTACAGAAGCACATTATACATTTCCTAGCTTAGCAACCAAATTCATCTAGCCAATCAACTTAAACAATCATGTCTGTCTATCCCCTCTACTGATTTCATTTATGCATAAAATAAAGGTGTAGGCTTTACCTTGGGAGTATCGATCAAAGAACACTTGGATTCAACTCAAGCAAGTTTCAGGCATTCTCATCCTGGTTCCTTTTCTCCCTATATCTCCCTTCTCTGAATCCCAACTTTCTTTTTCTTTTACATCAATCCCAATGAACAACTAATGTTCATCTTATTGATCTTTCTACTTTTTTTTGTAGCTTTTTGACAAAGTGTAGGCAAATAGTGGGGTCATAGGTAATTTACCTCTCCCTCGCTTCCACAATGTGTGATCATTCCTTTGAATTAGAATAGTAGGGTCATGGGTAATGTACCTTTCCCTCTGCCTCTCAGGAATTCATCTCAATCTTTTATTTTTTTCTCTTTATGGGATGCCAAAGGAAGGGGAGAAAGAAACCAAAATTACTTAGACTTTTACCTTCCAGACTTGCATGAGGATTCCGATCCCTTGTATATCAAGCCCCAAGACAAGCAATAGATGTCAGGTTAGGTTGGAAATCAGCTTTGGTTCTTCCAAACAATCATGAAGAGTGTTGTCATAGGATGATCGGTCATCCACTTTAGCATCTATAGTACTTTCTGCAATCAACAATTCTAAGAATGGTGCTAAAGAGTGGTAAGATAAAAAGCAAAATTTTTGAAATCTTTTTGTCCCTTTCTTGACTCAATAAAACCAATTTTTGAAAACTTTTTAATGAGATCAAAAAGGTAAAGTAGCATCAGTAATTCCACTCCCCCATACTTAAATCATACACTGTCCTCAGTGTATAGCTAGTCGGAATTAGAGCATAAGAAATAATAAATGTATAACTGATATCAAAATTGTGAACGATATACCTGACCGATGTTTGTATCGATCGATGGTGAGTCACTTCCATCGATCGTCATGGATAGGGTTATGTCGGGAGATGTAGACAGGGTCTCATCGGTTGATAGAGGTAGCGATCGTGTAGCTATGTTCCTAACAACAAATAAAAACGAAAGTAATAAGTAAAAATAAAATAAAACTAAATAAGAAAATACCTAACAGTGGGTTGCCTCCCACTCAGCGCTTAGTCAAAATCATTTAGCTTGACTATGGAGGTATGGTGGCTAGTGAGGTGGGTTGCAGGTACTTGTTGGGAAACAAATATCCTCCTTGTCTTGTGATCCTTCAAACCATGAAATTAAAAAGCTTCTTGTGGCTTTCTCGCTTCTGGTCATACTAGCTTTCAATCCTTGGACTTCATAGTGGATTTTCTGTAGTCAATTGTGGGAACCGAAATTCACCTACTGTCAATGAATCGTAAATAAGGAAACTTTGAGTAAACCCTAAGTTTCCAGAGGACCCAGCTATCTGCGGAACCGCACAACGATAATTAAGAAAATGATGAAATAAAAATTAAGATAAGAATGAACGAGTTGAAGAGCAAGAAGGATCTTATTCAGAATTTGCGTAAGAACGGTTACAACGAGAGTGGCCTTAGCTGCGTGAGCCGTCAGCGAAATCCCCAACTCTAGAAGTCTAAGACCGAAAACCCTAGTTGAGACGCAGATCGATAACAAAAACGGAAAAATTCCTAAATGCTAAGTTTGGTGGTGAAAGCTCTGAAAAACGTGTCATGCTTCTTCCTTATCCCTCCTGCTTATATACTCTCTTCCAAGGCGGTTTAGTCTTTCCATTTCACCTAGATTCGAGTTTATCTCAATGTTTCCTTTCTTTCCCGCGGAAATCTTATATTTATCTTCAAACTTGCCATTTATCTTCCTTCTGCGAGTAAATCCTCAAAACGTTATCGTATCTTCGGGTTAGATTTCGTTAAGATCGCGAGATGGGCTTTTAACACGTTTTAGGACCTTCCGAGCCGTTTTGCGATAAATCCGTTTTGCGACTTTGTACGAGATCGTTTCCTGATCCGATGCCATTTTTAGTAAATTCCATGAGTTAATCGTAAAGTTTAGGTACGTTCGTTTCACGGTTAATCGTTGCCGTTTTTACAATTCACTTGACGTTTTTATTAAAAACGCGTTTTTTTTTACGATTTTTACGAAAAATCTCGAATAAATCGTATAGTTTAGGCAATGTTCGGTGTTTTGTTTAACCGTTGCCGTTTTATACAATTTCCTTGAGTTCTTTTCGAGAAAACAAAGTTTTACGGTTTTATAGTAAAACTCGAACGATAAGAAAGATCGAGACGAAACAAGAGACATTTTGACCGTGGTTCGGAACATGATCGTGTCGAAGGACGTAAGCCTTGAATCGGGGATATGGGAAATCGAGGCTCGGGATGGTCGGCTCGACGTACTGCGAACCGAACTGGACTGGTTCAACTCGCCGTCCGGCAAGCTACCCGGGAGGCTTCTAGCTCGCCAAATGGCAAGCTAGTGTGGACCGGCAAGCTGAGCTAGGCGGGACGGGACGGGACTAGCTTGCCGAACGGCAAGCTAGTCGCGATGGGACTAGCTCGGGTTTTACGGCGGTTTTGGTTTTTCGCGG